ATAGCCGAGCCGCTAAATAGATCTAGATAGCACCGAAAATTCATTTCATATGGAGGTATCGGATATATTCACCCTCATATCTGATATAATGATGTATTTTTGTTGTCAATGGTATTTGGTTTGAGTAATTTATGTAAATTAAAAGTAAACTGATGGCGCAAGAACATAGTTATTTTAACCTTTTGTGGTGTCATCCTGGTTTTCCCACATTTAAATGCAGGTTTATAAAAACATAGGGTGTTTTGTTGTTTTAACAATTATAGTTTATTTCTGAATTATAGTCATATTTTTACCTTTATTTTACCTGTAAAATTTTATAAAAGATACTTAATTTTACTATAAAATATAGGAAATCAAGGAAAATGTGCAAAGATATTTTATAGATTTACCAGAAAATTGTATTGAATTTGACAAATATTAAAAAAAAATACAAAAAAATGTTTATTAGTTTGACAAATAAACGAACATTTAAATTTTTTTTAATAAATAGTACATTCCGAAAAAAAATATGTAAAAAGTAAATTAATGAAACTTGAGAATAAATAAGTGTCATTTAAAATTCTTTTTTTTTATTCACCTATCTATTTCATTTTATTTAAATAAATACTTTGTTCTGAAATTTACATCCCAGCTGTTCATAATTTCACACACAGAAGTAGCACCATACTGCATTTATAAAGAATCTTGCCCATGCATTGCATAGAGTGCCATAACTGAACTTGCTAAATCAGCAATAGAAAATGACAAAAAAAGGAAATGTGGACACTGTAAATTAACTGGACATTGTAAATAAAAAAAATGGGAAAGTTACATGCCCAGCATTGCATTAACAATAAATTATGAGGATTATTTAATATATATATTTCAAATCCTTTACTTCATTATTTATTAAAGAGATATGTTGACAGGATATCATTTCTTTGTGTTAATTGTTTAACCTAGATATATAGATTATTAACATACATAAACTGACATGGAATACAGGCCAGTGTTTCATTTCAATAGGACAGAAGTAAAAACAAACACAGTTGTTGTATTCTGTTTTTTTTTTTAATTTTCACCAAATAACAGAAACAAGGGCAAAATTGTCATTTTTCGCTATTGAGATAGAACATTACAAAAGGTCATTTCTTATAAACTACAGCCCATATCACTCTGAAACAGGAATAAACTGACTTGGAATACAGGCCAGTGTTTCATTTCAATAGGACAGAAGTAAAAACAAACACAGTTATTGTATTCTGTTTTTTTTTAAAATTTTCACCAAATAACAGAAACAAGGGCAAAATTGTCATTTTTCGATATTGACATAGAACATTACAAAAGGTCATTTCTTATAAACTACAGCCCATATCACTCTGAAACTGGAATAAACTGACTTGGAATACAGGCCAGTGTTTCATTTCAATAGGACAGAAGTAAAAACAAAAACAGTTGATTTATTCTGTTTTTATGCCCTCGCCGTAGCGGTGGAGGCATTAAGTTTTACCCTTGTCAGTCTGTACGTACGTACGTACGTACGTCCGTCCGTACGTTCCAAAATTGGATTCCGTTCTCTAAATTGAGTTTGCCTCAACCAAATGTTATGAAACTTATACACAATGCTTATTACCACAAAACACAGATCAAGTTTGAATTTTGGTGGCGTCACTTTAACCGTTCTAGAGTTATGCCCCTTTATAAATGGAAAAATGGCAAAATGTTTAGTTTCCGTTCTCTAACTTAAGTTTGCCTCAACCAAATGTTATGAAACTTATACACAATGCTTATTACCACAAAACACAGATCAAGTTTGAATTTTGGTGACATCACTTTAACCGTTCTTTCAACCAAATGTTATAAAACTAATATACAACCGTTCTAGAGTTATGCGTGTTTACAAATAGAAAAATTGCTGAATTTTTAGTTTCTGTTCTCTACTTAAGGTAGCCTCAACCAAATGTTATGAGACTTACACACAATGCTTATTACCACAAAACTCAGATCAAGTTCAATTTTGGGTAGCGTCACTTTTACCGTTCTTCAGTTATGTCCCTTTATAACTATATGATATGCAAGCGGGGGCATCATCTGTGTCCACATGTGGACTCTATCCACATTTATTTTTTTGAAATTTTCAACAAATAACAGAAACAAGGGCAAAATTGTCATTTTTGGCTATTGAGATAGAACATTACAAAAGGTATACTTATAAACTACAGCCCAAATCACTCTGAAACTTTGCAGTAATGTTTCTCTTAAACATAGGTACGTTTGCATAAAAAAATCTCATTTTGCACCATGGACCTCATTTGGACCCAAAATTTCATGGCTGGTCACATATAGTGCCCCATATTACTTATTTTTACCATAGTGCTTTATTTATTTCCTTATGCAATGCATGTATAAATTTGATTCATTAATAATATAAATTATGTTTGCAATAAAAGAAGATTTTATCATATATTGGTGAATATACATCATAATCATTTAGAAACTGATGAATTATCAAGACACTTTTATAAATGAATGCCATCGTTTATTATTAGTTGTATGTCAAATGAATCAATTGAATTGATATTAAATTATTGAGAAAAAAATGTGTGATTTATTTATCATTTATCTATAGAAATAAAAATGGAACTACAAAATGAAAAATATAAATAGATAATTGGTATAATTAAATGTGGGCAATCCAGGAGTAAACCTTATTTTGTAGTGCATTTCTTTAGAACAATAAATACTAATTAAAAAATACTCACCGGCGCTTTCTCAATAATATTTTTTCAGTGTGGTGTGCCACTTTTGGCACAAATTATATCAGAATTATAGAAAACGTCATCAGCTTTAACACAAAATTTTAACAATTTTATTTCAAAGGGTCTTGAATTCAGTTTGAGATCTTCATGCATACTGATTTTTTTTTACCTTTTTCATGGCCAAAATTTGTTGAGTGTAACGTAATCCCTCTACTTGCTATTTGAGGCATAAAACACAAGAAAAATATTGGGAAGGTGTATGAAAAAAAGTTGCTAAAAATACACTATCCACATTTTCTGACTATATTAATAGACAACGAAAAACAAAGAAAAATTAAAGGATGAAAACCATGTTCCAGAAAAAGCTAAAAATATTTAACAAGAGTCCACACGCTGAAATTTATCTGGAAAGTCTGTTTTTTATCAAGGATTTGTATACAAATCCTTGGTTATATGAAGGTTTTACTACAATTAAGTTTCAGTCATACACTTAAAATAATCAAAAATCCATGACAAATTAGGTCAACGTCAGATGAACCATGTCAGACAGACATGTTCACCTTTCAATCATTCCATACACCAAATATAGTGGCCCTATTGCTTATGGTACCCGAGAGACAGACCAAACAACAACAAGAGGCTGTCAGATTGACAACAAACCGAATTTTCCTTCATGAAAATGATATTTGCAAATCTGGACCTCCAAACAGGATCAAGTTAAAAAAAAATGAATGTTTGTAGGGTTCAGAAATGGACAGGCCAAAATAAATCTAAGTATCACTTTTGGCTACTTAAAAAGGTCTAAAACTCAACAACGATAAAAGCTAAAATGGTGAAAAATCAAACTTGACCTTCATTTAGTCACAGAAAGCAACATATCTTAATTTGAAAACATTTCCTCAAATCGTTTTCAAGTTATTGCACGGACACTGTTTGGCAGCCGCTCGCACGACCGCCCGCCCACCGTACATCACCAAATAAATAACCGATCTTTTCTTTTGGAAATCCGGTTAAAGACTTAACATTGACCTATAAACAATGAGATGGAAGTCAAGGTCATATGAACCCTACTAGAAAAACATATACACCTTCCAGTCATTCCATACACCAAAGATAATTTACCTATTGCTTATAGTATCTGATAATCTGACAAAACCACAAAAACTTAACACCAAGGTCATAAGAAACCTGTCAGACTGACATGTACGCCTTACAACCATTCCATACACCAAATATAATTGACCTATTGCTTACAGTATCTAAGATATGGACTTGCTCACGGATACTTAATCTTGATCACTGATCCATGAAATGTGGTCAAGGTCAGGTGAATCCTGTCTGACGTGCATGTAGGCCTTGCAATAAATCCATGTACTAAATATAGTTATCCTATTACTCATAAGTAAGAAATTCACATGACCAAATCAAATATATTTTTTTTCAAGCAGTTGCTGAACCATGAAAATGAGGTCAAGGACAATGGACATATAACAGACGGAAACTTTGTAATATAAGGTATCTGTATAAACAAGGTATGAAGCATCCATGTCTTCTACACACTAAAATATAAAGATTTATACAAAAAGTTTTCGCTGCTGTCACCATTTTGTAATCCCTATGTCTAACATTCTGCAACTTTCGTCACAGGTAAGACAAAAAAATCAATTGATGTCTCGTCTACAGCTGTTTAGAACGCAACCCTAAGCATTTATCTTATTCCTTTTCAACTCTGATGTTTACTGTAACCATTAACTTTTTATTACTGGATTTACCTAACACAATCAGTCCTTGAACAAACTGTTCAGTTTAGTCTACTGTTGCTTGGTATGCAGGGTTTAAGTAACAAACATAGGTTAATCACTGTCTTTATGTTCAAAAAGGATATTTGCTTCCAATTTCTTTTGAACGGTACATACTAGAATAAAATTCCACAGAGGATAAAATTGAATGGAGATACACATACTTTCAACTGGAATAACTAAATAATTTCTAATGTTTGTAACAGTGACCTTTAAGTTTGACTCCAAAATCATGAGGCTTCTTCCCCTTCCCTACATCTTCCTTCTGTATATGTTCTGTGTTAATGAAGCATGGTCAACTCAAGGTTTCATCCAGAAATAATTTGTTTCAAACATACAGATGGACAGACGGACAAGGTGACGCCTATATGTTCCCAAATAATTTTTAGGCAGCATATCACTATTGACAAGGCTTGCTTATACACATTTAGCTAGAATAAAGCAAAATAAAAAAGAAAGAAAATGGTTATTTCATGGATTTATTCATGATTTAATCTTATGCTGATCATCTGAAAGACATTTGTATGGAAATATCGATTAATTACAGATATTATATGATAGCATTTAGATTCGAAGTCAGGGGACAAAATCATGTGAAAAATATAATTGTTAAGTTATTACATCTTGATAACTTAATTCATCTAATTAATTACCTACTCAAATCTCATTTTAACACATTTATACTTCAGGAATATACTTTGGAAGGGAATTCACACTGGCTGCTGCCTAGTACTTTTTTGCATACATAATTCCTAGCACTTTTGAAAACTACATTTCATGTACTTATATACATATTCACAAAGTAATATACAAAATTATCACATTCTAATGAAACATGTTTTAAGTAAATGCATTCAATATTATAAAAATACCCACATTCATCATGATTCATGTACTTATTTACACACAAAATAGGCTAGACTCAAGTGACATGGCTGCATGGAAATCTAGATCAATAGAGATTTATTTAGAATGCAGATTTAAATAAAGGTAATTAGAAAATTTATAAAAATGTGATTGTGGCAAAATTTTGTACAAAACATACCATCTTCAGAATTTGACTGAATAAACAAAGCAGCAGGAATATATTATGACAAGAATAAATAATAAATATGGAAGCATTCATTAAAAATTTTAGAAGTCTGAGAACTTTAGGTCAATTTAATACACAAAATCAGTTCTGTCTGTTGAAAAGTTTTCTAAAAGACAATTAGACCAGAATCAACAAAAAATCCACATTAACAGATCCACATCAATGTGTTGGCATTTTTCAGGGATAACATATACAGGTTGAAATATATAGGAGTATAAAAATAATGTGGTAAGATTACCAACGAAACAACTTTCCACAACAGACCAAATGACATATAAATATGCTCTGATACAGACACTTAATTAGAATAAATAAAGTATTTGTATGCACAACATTCTTTGCAGTATCAATTGTCCCTGGCGAAATCTATTCACATTAGTCTCCCCCCCTTTACAAACATTCTCTACACTATACCCAGCTATCCATTGGATGCAAATCAGACAAAAATGAACTAAAAGGAAAGATGACAATAAGAGTGCAACAAACTGCTCATTATTTTCAAAAATTAAACTTCAAAAATCAAAATTAAATTTCATTTTTTAAATTTTTGTAGACAATTTGTCTATTAACTTCATACCAAGGCATGTGCAAATATAATCTATATAAGGCCACGCCAAATTGATACCTCGTTCGTCGGATCCCCCCGTGTTGTGAAAGGTCGACGAGAAAAAAGTACTTTTTTTTAAAACCTGTGTCCAGTACGGAGCCGCACGCGTCCGTCTCTAAATTTATGTAACAAAAATTTTAATCAGTTGTGCTTTTGAAAGTAACACCTTACAGACAACAAAAACGATCTAGATCTAACATTTACAACGTTTTATGGCCAAATATTCAAAACTTTTAAGACATGAGTTGAATATTTGTAGTAACAGTTGCAGGAAAAATCCTTATTCCAAACACAGCAGTGGAATGTGATTTGGACAATTCTTTTATCAATTTGTTTGAAGTGCTCCGTTCAAGACCACAATGCTCCACCGCCACCGAATTGAAAGACCATCAAATCATGACAATACAACATGCATAAGAATAAAAGAGAATCCTGGAGATGATGGTACATGCACTGAAATGGCACCACAATGAAACTATTATATTTTTTACTCTTTTTTTTTTTAATCTTTTACAATAAAAGGTTTTTTTCCCTGAATCTTTTATTTACATTTGCTAGTATCATTTAATGAATACAAAGTTATAAAGCATGGAATTTGACAAGGACGTTTTTGTGGTAATTGAATATAACACATCAATCCAACTTTACAATTTACAAAATCTTCTAAAAATAAGGATTTGTATGATTTTCAAGGCCTTCAACACAGAGCAATATCCCCATATACATAAATATTTGATTGCTAGTAAATTCTTCAGCAAAGCAATGACTAAGTGGACTGTATTTAAATGTTCCTTTTGTTTAATTAGTATATAGCATCTGGTGTGATGCATTTGAATACTAAGTAGTATAAATTGGTGTGGTTTTTGAAGGACATCCCTTTTTAAATTTTCAGCCTGTTGTATACACAAATATGTAGTTCACTGGTTGTCGTTGGTTAATGTCTGTCATATTTGTTTATCATAAACTGTTATAAATTAGGCCGTTAGTTTTCTCAGTTTCATATTTTTCATGTCAGGGCCTTTTATAGCCAGTACGGTATGGGTTTTCTCATTGCTGAAGGCTGTACGTTGCCTATAATTGCATACATCCACTTCATTTGAACCTTGTTGGATAGTTGTCTCATTGGCTATCATACCACATTTCCTTATTTTTATAATACATCAATTATAACTTCCATCAAACATTGACGTCTGCCTGTCCAAAGCTGTTGCACTTTTTCATGTTCAGACAGGTTCTTTGTTTGAGCAGACTGCCCGAGGTTGTAGGTTTTGCTACTAGTTAACCCCATTTGTACTGGAAATGTTGTGAAAAGAATTCAACAGGGTGTCACAGAACAAATTGATAAGCAAAGTAGGGTAATATAAGAACTAGGATATGAGATATATAAAAACATGAAGCACCAAAACAGTGTAAATTTCTGATCGCTCGCTTGCATAAAATACTTTTCATCGACTTTATTTTTTTAGAATATCAAAAATAATAGTGCTCACTAGTAAAAAATTCTTTCGCCTGCCAAAATTCAAACTTTGAAAAAAAAAAAAAAATAAAAAAAATTTAGCTCGCTTGTTACCCTTTTTCATGGAAAAAATCCAAAGAACTAAAAAATTAATTTGGTGTGGCCTAAAGTTCAATATGATAAATGCATCCAATAGTTCTACACCTGCAGAAAATCAATTCAAATTAAGTGCAGCAGGTATCAACATTTTACCAACAACTAGTTCAAATTGTGTATACAAAATAAAATCTCCATTTATACATAGTAGATTACTGTAAAAAGAATAAACAATATTACAGTCATCCAAACAGTAACTATAAAATAACATGCAGTCCATGCAAATCAGCAATGGAAATTTATCACAGAGTTCTAAAAAAAACAGCTTTATACTTTTGCTACTGTCCAGTAAACATTTTAATTTGATTAAGGTAGCTAATCCACACACTATCTTTACTCCACATACCAACGCTAGGTGATATACATATGGCTATTAAGCCCTGAATTAACTCTGCACGTAGGATGTATATATAAACAAATAGAACAATGGTTGCTTATAATTAATATATTTAGTTTTGTTGTATTGTAATTGAATTAAAACATAGTTTTTATAAACATGCTTAAATTTATGATATATTTTATGCTTCCCACCATGTCGAAAGATTTTGCTATTTTTTGACATGCACTAAGAATTTCAACATAATATTGTGTACAGCCTGGATCTACAGGTAAATTGAGCCAGGGTCAAAAGTTAATTTTATTCTTTAAGGATGTTAGCTACTCTTGTTTTCAAATTTTTCTCAGATTTTCATAACCCTCTAGTTTTATCCATGTAGTGCCAATAAAATTTTGACCACTAACCCCTACTTTTCTTTTTATACTTTTATTACATATAGGTTTAAAATGCCATTTTGGAAAATCCTATAAAATCCTAGTTATTTTTTCATAGTTTTTGAAAGATAAAAGGTGCCAAATTTTCATTTGGTTATATCTCAAAAACAAAGACCTGTCATTTTTTTTGTACTGTTTAAGTTCCATTGTTTATACACTATCTGTTTAAACCAGTCTTTTCAAAAGCTTATTATTCTGAAACAGAGGCGCAAACATCCTTAAATCAAGTTAAAACTAACCCTGAGCAGATAAGACAGTCTTTTCTTTCAGAAGATAGTGAATAGTATCAACCTATAATTATATAGTTATAGATCATTTTTCATTTTGTTTTTTAATGGAGATATATATTTTCATCCTCTTTCCATTGAACTTGTTTGAGATAAGATTAGGTGAGAAAATGAATTTAGTTTTAAAAATCAAAAATAACCAATTCATCACTATTTTCTTAGATAACTTCAATTTATGTTTATGGTAACAATGAAAGCATAACTATTTCTCAACACAACTTAGAAAATCCCAGTTTGAGATGAAAAATTATCATACAGAAAGATCAGAAGGAAATTTTAGAAAATAGCAATAAATACAATTATCGCTATTTTACGAATTTTATCTTTGATCTTGCTGACTGATAATTTCCGTTCTCAGTGGAGTCGAGTGATATGAAAATTATCGCTAGATAAGGGAACACGTGCCGTTGTCAAGGAAATTAACAATGTCTTCATAGGTAAAATAGCGATAAACAGATTATCATTGGTCATCTCAACTCGATTGCTTTTCTCGCTTTCGCCGTACCGGCTCAAGCGAGAAAATCAATCTCGTTGAGATAACCAACGATAATCTATAATTATATAAAACACGTCCTAGTAAATATATTTTTTTTTAAATCAAAAATCAAAATATGTGGAAGATATGACATAATTAACAGAACTGGTAGATAAAATACTTTCCCTGTTTGTGGAATAAAGTTAAATTTACCAACAGATTGTGTGAAGTTAAGCAATTTGACCATGATATAGATCAATTACAGAGACTTAATATGCACTTATTACTGGTGATATTGCACAGTTTCAGAGTGTGATTTTCATCTAAAATGACATCATTTCATCATATGAATTTTAAATTTTAGGCTTAAAATTCAATAACTCCTATAACAATATAAAGAACCACAAAATTCCCAATAGCTTCAGTAATATCAAAATCTTCATATGTTTGTCTACATAAAAATTAAATATTAATCACTGCCCAACAATCATTTAGCATATTGCTGAAAGAATGCTAGTTTAATCTGTTCTATATGATGGCACAGTTTAATGGCAGGACCTAATTTGAGTTCTAAGTATTCTTGTACTGTAGGCAGTGTCAAGAGAAGTAAAGCTTGGCCATCAATTTCCTGTAAAAAAGAATAACAAAATATATAAAGGTTTCTTTACAAAATTTTTCATTTACCACAAAAGTTTAATCTAGTATTTGGTGAAAATATTCAACTGCAATTTTAAAATTAAAATTAAGTTAAGAACATTTGAAAGTAAAGTCTCAATATCAAATTGGTACCCATCTTTTCTTACAATGAGGGGTCAACTGGTGTACACTAAAAACAATGGAAAATCGATAGGAGACAACTATATTTGACTCGTTTAGCTGCTGCCCAAAGTCCTATATCCCAAAATATTCACATCAAATATCCTTGATAATAATTTAAAAAATTATACATAATGTGTGCAAATATACCTTATTCAAGGAATAAAAATTTACAAAATCCCATAAAATTCCCTAAGACTAAAATCTAACTACATTTCTGTTTTGATTTTAGGCATATTAGTACCAATAGAAGCAGAATTGTCACAGGTTTATTGCTTTATTTGGTTGTATTTTTGTTGCTGAGCATTTTCACTTTCTCATAAACACAAATACTATTTTCTGTTCAGTATTTGCTATATATATAATTCAACCAAATTAAATTGTAAAAAAATAATATTTAACTACTGAAGACTAAACTATGACCAAATAAACAAATATTCTTTAGACAATTCTGCATTTTTCAACACCTTATTCGTAAAAATCCAACCATAAGTACCTTCAAAATATGTTTTGAAAAATGTGTTTTTATATGAAATATACGGCAAAAAATGTAGGTGAGAATACTTTTCGCCATGTGCTGTACATTAAAATTTGCTTCCACTGTTAATACAATAATATCATCAATGTTTTAAAATGGCAAGAATAAAATATTGAGAACAGAAATTCAACTGATTAAATAAGAAGAGTGTTTTTTAATTCAGTGTATCATAGCTTGGTCTTTTTTCACAAAAAATGTATATGTGCAGATTTTACTATATAGATATAAGAAGATGTGGTATGAGTGCCAATGAGACAACTCTCCATCCAAGTCAAAATTTATAAAAGTAAACCATTATAGGTCAAAGTACGGTCTTCAACACGGAGCCTTGGCTCACACCAAACAGCAAGCTATAAAGGGCCTCAAAAATTACTAGTGTAAAACCATTCAAACAGGAAAACCAAGGGTCTAATCTATATAAAAAATGAGAAACGAGAAACACTTATGAACCGCATCAACAAACAACAATTACTGAACATCTGCCTAGAATATAAAAATGTTATTTAACATAAACAATATTATTTTATCTAGATTGTTTTAAAATTTAATATTGTTAAAAGGTGTAATACCACCATTGATTTTCCCCTATTAGTCTTTGTTAAATTTGCACTTTTCAAAAAATTGTGCAGAATTTATCTTTGTTTCAAATAAAGAAATACTTGGCATGAGTAAAGTTTTATCCTGTCCAGTACTATAGAAAAAATTTCACATAACATTTCATTGCATATAAGAAAATAACCATCACTGGAAGTTAACCAATCAAATTTTCCCCCTTTTTTAACCTGTGTACAAGCTTTAGTAACCATGTAACCTCAAGTTTCCAAAATATTCTATAGAAACCCCAAATAAAAAAATAATGGTGCTTTGAAATACCCAAGATATATGTTTATGACCCAGAAATGTTTTACTGCAATGAAATGTAGGATCAATTACCTACAACTGTCAAATTCAAGGGAATATTTTTTTCTACCTATTTTCGTATGCAACCGGATGTGACGTACTATGATTTGGTGGTATTACACCTAAAGAAGACTTTTTTGTTAAATAAACTGAATGTGACTTTTTCCCTTTGTAATACTGGTTATTTCAAGCATTCCTGTCAAGTTTTGTCATAATCAGTTCAATAGTTTGAGAAAAATCTAGTATAATGTAAGACGACATCTACAGTGTTTCGAGCAAAATTTCTTAGAAAAATCCAAACCAAGCAGCATCATGATAGAATATAGTGTGGACCAATAAATGATCAAATATTTATCTCATCTACCTACAAACAGTTGAATATGATACAAAAGATGACTTTAGGATGATAAATACTACTAATGGACCTCTTTGTCTTCCTTATAAGGTCTCTTTTGGTCCATTTATACCTCTCATTTCCTCAAAATTTCTACTTTTTAGGCCAATAAATAAAATTTTTGGGGTAACTTTCACTCATTTATGATAGAAATGTTATAATAAATGATTAATTGAAGTATTCAAGCTGAATGAACTATCCGTATAAAAGTTTACTGTCTCCAAGGAGGTTTCAATAAGTCCTTACGTAAAATTTAAATTTACGCCGCGTTCCAGAGAGTGACATAAAAATCTTCTCTTTTGGTGAATAATTTGTTGTTACTGCTTTAAAAATAATTTTATTTACTTAAAACTATATAGTTTTTAAAGTATTTCTTAGGAAAAATTTTCTGGTATAGCAGAATATAAGAAATAAGGAGAAAAAGCTCCCCAAAACTCTAAGTATGGCTTGTTCTGTCAACTAATATTCAGAGTAAAGTCCTATTTCAAGGAAATTTTCTCATAAAATGTGTTTTGGAGACTCAATCCACTCAGAATATTTCATTATTTGTAATATTTCACTTAAATAGCAAGAAATTTTAACACATGCGAGTACTCACAAGGTCAAAGGTGCATGTACAGCTTCCCATTTTAGGTGTAATACCACCATTGATTTTCCCCTATTAGTCTTTGTTAAATTTGCACTTTTCAAAAAATTGTGCAGAATTTATCTTTGTTTCAAATAAAGAAATACTTGGCATGAGTAAAGTTTTATCCTGTCCAGTACTATAGAAAAAATTTCACATAACATTTCATTGCATATAAGAAAATAACCATCACTGGAAGTTAACCAATCAAATTTTCCCCCTTTTTTAACCTGTGTACAAGCTTTAGTAACCATGTAACCTCAAGTTTCCAAAATATTCTATAGAAACCCCAAATAAAAAAATAATGGTGCTTTGAAATACCCAAGATATATGTTTATGACCCAGAAATGTTTTACTGCAATGAAATGTAGGATCAATTACCTACAACTGTCAAATTCAAGGGAATATTTTTTTTCGACCTATTTTCGTATGCAACCGGATGTGACGTACTATGATTTGGTGGTATTACACCAAAATATCATCTAACAGGCAAAATAGAATGTAAAGCACAAAAATAAGATCTGTAAACTCTACAATACAAGCAAAACATCATTGTTAATAAAACTGAGAAAAGAATGTTTTGTCAAATTATCTAACTATTGGTGAGTAAGTGACAACCAACTATCAGTGACCAAAGCTGCCTACAGTCTAAAATTTCTTCACTTTACCTTATGAATTTACACTTTTGAAGATTGGTTGATAAACTAAAAATAAATACCTGTTCTCTGAATAACCTTGCCACTGGAGCACATTCTGTTCCCTTTATAAAGCCAACAACTTCCTGAACTGACCAATGCAATGGATTACTGCTTAGTTTCATAGCATTCTTTACAGGTGAATTATGGGGAGATGTCTGTTTTTCTTCTTTTACATGGTGCTTTTTATGCTAAAATCAAATTGTTTTAAGTAAAAATATATAATATATAAAATAAAAATAAACAAGAGGCTGTCAGAGTGACAGCAAAACCGGATTTTCCTGCAGAGGTCGAACCCTGAACAGTTGAGCAAGTATGGACACAACATTTAAGCTTAAAACAGCTCAGGATTTAGATTGTGATTGAATATTTAAAATAGATTATTATCTAATTAATAATGAAAATGATATTTGCAAATCTGAACCCCCAAACGGGATCAAGTAAAAATTAAACATTAAAACACACAACAACAATAAAATACCACATAACAACTGTGACATCTACCTTCATAACACACATGACTTAAAAAAAAAAGTTATAAAGAAATTTTTGACAACTAATGACTAAAATTAATTAAATTGACTAAAATTAATTGAATATAGACAATCATTAATAGACTAAAAGCCATATACTTCAAATGGAAATAACTCAAACTTATTTCCATGAACCAGTGATGTAAATAGCAAAAATAGTTCTCTAAAATCAGATATGATTTAACCATTCATAAATAGTTCTCTAAAATTAGATATGATGTTATATCTTTTTTCAAATTATAATAAAAAATCTAAATACCACTTAGATTCAGCATATCAAAGAACACAAAAAATTCGTTTTTTTTTTAAAGTTATATTTTGGACCCTTTGGACCTAAATGTGGACCAATTTGAAGACAGGCCTTAAAATTAAAAAAAAATCTAACAAGAGACCAAATGACAAAGAAATTAATCATTAATTTCTGTTCAAAGGGAAATAACTCAAATTCATATAATAAAAATAAATTTTGCTACTGAAAGGTCTAAAACTCAACAATGAGAACAGCTAAAATCATGAAAATTGAACTTGACCTTCATTTAGTCACAGGAAACAACATATCTAAATTTGAAAAGATTTAGTCAAAGAGTTTTCACGTTAATGAACAGACACTGTTTGGCAGCCACCCGCCCACCCGCCGTAACATCCCCTAACCTATAACCGATTTTTCTTTCGAAAATCCGGTTAAAAATAACTACTATGAAATAGAAAAGTTTTCTAACCTTATTAAAAGTTAATACTGTACCTATCTGGCCAACTGAAAAACTCCCTATAATTTTACAAATCAAAATAAAAAGGAATTTCACAACTGACTGGAAATTCAAGAGAGATTTATAATATTCTTTTAATGTCAAAAATATACAAGATTTACCTATTTCCAACCTTAAAAATCCAACAGTTTTCTTGACTTCTTTCAATATGCTTGTAGATAATGAGCTGATTGTTTGGTTTAAAAGTCTATATCAGGCAGTTACAGATTAAGTTTGAAATTCGTTTCAGATGACCTTTTCACAGAATTATGACTGTTGGACATTGAAAATTTCATAAAAGTTGTACTTTTCCTGACTTTTTGTTTATGTTTGTAAATATTGATTGAAGTGAATTTTGTTCTTAAATGTAAAATTACATATGTAACAGACCCAAGCTCTGTTTTGTTTGGCACAGTTCCATTTGTATTGTTTTGACAAATCTAGTTATTTTTTTTTAAAATAGCTTATGTCAAACTTATAATTGATAACTGATCTGACCAATAGTAAGTAAACTAGTTAACATACAAATGCTGAATGACTCTCTACTTACAGGTTTGGTATGAATGTGATGCTTGTCTTGCACTGGAATCTTCTTGTGTGTTTTTCTCTCAAAACTATATTTAGGTAATTTTGCTCCTCTTGTTTTGATATCTGAAGGCAAAGGAATATGGTGAACATATTTCCTTTTTAATGTCTTATCACCATTATATAGATTTTCTCCACTATCATTTGTTTTAGTGTCACTAGTTACACTTTCTTTGTCCTCATCCCCATCAACAATGCTGCCATTTTCTTCTGCATTTGTCTCCCCTTGGGTAAGAATTTTCATTCGTTTCTTCTTTTTCTTCTTTCCTGGCTTTTTAGGACCATTTTCTAAGTTTGTGTGACCGCCAGGTGGTCGACCCACTTTCTTTTTTGGATTATAATATGCTGCAGTAAATAAATTAATTGTACATTTAGTCATTTAAAGGAAACAATTTTCAAACCAGAAACACCATTGAGAAGATTTATTTTCATTTGCTTATCTATATGAGTTGTTACCACTCAACATTATTTTCATTTAAACTAATCGATCAATCTTATTCTTAAGTATTTTCATATTTCATATGCTAAAGGGAAACTAATGTTAAATATTTAACATGTAGCAACAGTATCATTTAAAATAGTCTGTGCATAAAGGAATATCCATGCACATTGCTCAGTTGTAATTAAGGAATGACTGTAATATTTTTTCTGTCTATGAAGAAATAACATCAAAAATGTGGTGCACACTGAATAACACAGAAAAAATATTAAAGTCATTTCTTATAATTTAATCCTAAATTCCATTTTAAACCGGAGTAAACTATGAAAAAACGTTGATGACGTCACGGTCACATGACAAAATTATGTCTATTAGCTGATAAACAAAACAACGTCAGCCAATCAGAAGACGCGTTACATCCAAAATTAAATTATCACAGAGTAGTGTTATAAATTCATTAAGCCATGTGCAATTATTTGTTTCTTATATTCTTACTCAATTTCATAAATGTTATAAAGGGTGGGCTCCTTTTTATTTTTGTATTTTATGAATAGCTGCAGCTATGTTTGTGAAGCATAACCCTGTTTCTTTCAAAGGATAAGAGTCAAACAAAAGTTTTTAGTGGAGCAAGTACTTCATCTATTTTCCCTATACATGTATTACAGTTACATCCTATATTAGTTTGAACACTTCCAAAATTTCCAAATATTTTAGTCTCAATTTATGGCGTGTTAACATATGACAGTGTCGAAAAACTACTAAACTGATATGACTTATCATTGAAAATATTCTTTTATCTTTCATATTCTTAAAGTCTTCAAACCCAAACTATAGTATTTATTTATCATTTTCAGTACATGAAACTCTAGATATCCGGATTGTGGGCTTTTTTTTTCAGAACAGAAAGTAGAACAGAACATTGTCAGATCCTTGTAAGTAAAGTGTGGATACAGGATTGGCATTCTAATCGGATTGATGATAATTGAATTACAATCTTGTGCTACATATTCAATTTAATGGATTTTTGTTTTCTTATTTAAGGTTATGTTACACTTTATTATGCTTCTGTTTGTTCTTTGATACTTTGAGTTTTTGTTATATTATAATCATATCAAGTAATTGTGTTCTACACTTACTATACTGAGTTTTTGTTATATTATAATCATATCAAGTAATTGTGTTCTACACTTACTATACTGAGTTTTTGTTATATTATAATCATATCAAGTAATTGTGTTCTACACTTACTATACTAAGTTTTTGTTATATTATAATCATATCAAGTAATTGTGTTCTACACTTACTATACTGAGTTTTTGTTATATTATAATCATATCAAGTAATTGTGTTCTACACTTACTATACTGAGTTTTTGTTATATTATAATCATATCAAGTAATTGTGTTCTACACTTACTATACTGAGTTTTTGTAAGTTGTGAGCATTTTTCAGGACATTCTCCATTTATGAAAGTTTGACTGATTAAATTTGGACAGCATTCTAACTTTGTACATATCTTTCTGCAAAACTCTGGTAATTTCTCTGCATGCTGAATAATCTCTACAACTGCTCTGTAGCTCTTTCCTTTGTACCTGGAGTCAATCATCAAAGTGAAGTTAGTGGCATATATTTTGTACCTGGCTTAAATTGGTCATCTTTAATTTTAAACACTCGCTGTTGTCTTTTTCCCAATTTATAAAAATATCATATGAAAAATCAGACGTTTCAAATGTTAATGGTATCCTGAAATTTTCAGCATTGAGCGGATCGGATCCTGCTGTCCATTGATTTTGAAAATAAAATATACTCAAACATTGAACTTCATCAATTTCATGAAAAATTGTTCAACTCAGGCTAAACTTGAAACTACAACTTCTGATAACATCACTTACACCTAAAATCTGGCCAATGTCTCACATCTTTAATCCAATACTTGGTTAAATCACGAAATATTGACTGTTTTCTTCAACAAAAGTCGTTTTGTTTGATCCTTTGACCTAAATTGTTTTGTTTGGTAACTTTACATACAAGACAAAACATATTTTGTACTTTATTTCGTTCTTAAACAGGAATCATCAGTATACCATTACAACTTTGGCTGTTGTTTTTATTTGTCACTACTCTTTCTAGCTTCTGTACATTCAGAAATTATTACAAGGTTTTTATTTAAGCCAATAATGTGACTGTGTGAGTATTACAATAATAAGAACTACCATTCTGATATCTAATACATATATCTGTATGCAGCTTTTCCTGAAATCGCAATAATTCATCTATCATTTTTGTCCATTCTTTAAAAAAAATGTATAATAAATGCATGCAATAACTTCTGAATTTACAGTACTTATTACAGTGGAGTGTTTTCTAACTAGTAGACATATAAGACTTAAAGACTCACTTTGCTTTTAATATTTGTTGGTACATATCAAGATTAGGTCTGCCCTCCAGCTGAAGTTCTTTGAGCACCCTGCATGGTTTATAGGCCACATTTATCAGCATTGATAACACCTCTTTCATCACGAGGAAAATTGGACCTGGACCGACACATTTTGGTAAAGAGGCTATTCTACTCTTACTCAGATGAGGACCAGAGAAACAATGATGGTTGTAATACACTTTATTGCACCATTCTCCACCTAAAATAGCATGATACTACTTAAACAAATGGGTCCAAAGACTAATATGATTCTTAAAAAAATGTAGGATAATCTATAATTGATATGCAAATATATACCAGTATAACATTTGAAAATATAATTATTACAATTGTTTTGTACAAAATAAATACCATCTTTAGAGAATTTTCTTTCAAAATTTGAGTATTTGGAAATTGGCTGAATTTGTTAAACTCAATATTACGAGATGCATACCTTCAACATCAACTTAAACATTTAAAACTTTCAGGAGATCAGTTTTAATATCAACACATGAAATTTCCATGAAAAATGATGAAATTCCAAAGTAAAACAAGACCAAAACCTGGTCTGGACCTGTGTCCCTGTATGTAATTGATTGAGGTAACATATATATTGGAGCATAGCTGATCATTTCCTTTCATTGATCCCAAGAAAACTTTCATGAAAATTTTTCTTGTACAATGATTGTTGTAAAATTTCAAACTATCGGCAAACAGGAAGTGGATACATCACTGATGTAAAAAAAAATCATTCTATTAATTAGTTAAGTCTGTAACTAGAGATGACAACTTTAATATGTGTGCAATATATTAAAATAGTCTATCTACCAGAAAGTCACACTCCTGAAGTATAAAAGACAACTGAAAAATAAACAGATGGACCATACAGACTCTTTGAATAAGCCATGGACTCACACCACACTGACTAATTTTACAAGTGTTAACAACAACCTGTACAACTCAACCATAACAAACAAGTAACAAGCTGACAGACAGCTGAAGGACAAGCAATTAACAAGTACTATAGATATGCACCAGCATAAAAAGTATTTGATTAATTGCTACACAAGTTTTTAATGATATTTCCTAGATATAGCAAGTTAAAATGAATACCTTGTTTTGAATGGAAGACTTCATTTGTTGAATCAGTAATCCTGTCAAATAGAAAAGCATAACAATGAAAATTTAAACACTACTGCAATGTTTTTATTATTTCGAAAATTTAATAGAATGAACAATGCAACTTTTGCAACTCACATTTTTTTTTTTGCTTGTTATTTACTTTGTGTTGCTCAATCTTGAGTTTTCTATGTTGTTGTTTTGTGTACTGTTGTTTGTCTTTTCATCATTTTCGTTTTTTGCCATGGCATTGTCAGTTTGTTTTCGACTTTGAATATCCATTTTGTATCTTTGGCCTCTCTTCTACATACTCAGGAATCAAACTATTAAACAATTTTCAGGGACACTTAATGGTAAGCAGATCTTTTACTCTTTAGAGAATGTGTTCATATTGTTTCCTTAGTTTTGATATGTTAAGAATTTCCTCAATATTTAAAGTGTTTTGTTAACAAGTGCTGTCCTCAAAATTAAATTGATCTATTTACTCTTAATATTCTTTTTTTGTGAAAAAATGCTGCTTATATAATCATATTTATCTCATTATGGTATGTAATAGGCCTCAACAAATCAGTATGATAACTCATCTTATGGTGTAACATCACTAATTCGGGCCCGGCCAGAAAGCACATACCAGAAAGTAGTACAAATGTACATACTTAACACAAAATAGTTCCTACGCATGAGTGTAACTTTCAAAATATGTAGAATATCTAGGTATTTTTGGTATCAAATGAAAGCTGAATGACTGGTGATCATTGTAGAACACTTTTTGACTTATAATTTTGAATTTCAAAAAAACTGCACCAAATTTTAAAAAGAGGGTATATTTTGCCTGTTTGTCAGATCTGAAGTACCTGTTTTGGTACATCTGAAGTTCGGGGAACCAGTTCTTTCTTATATGCCATGAAAGGTATGTTGATTTTTTCAGTACAAGACACCATAAAGTGTTGCTTTGACATGTAATGATTGTCACTTTATTTGAACTTAAAACAAAAGAGCTGTGCCTGCTTGAAATTGATGAATTTAACATAGAAAGCAATAGGGCCATGAATTAGTGGTGTACTTCCTTATGTTATAACAGATGATATTATCTATCTAACATAACATCAACATACTATATCATTTTACACTATAAAAAAGAGCATCATGGATGTAGAAATAATTTCACTCACTCAGATAGAACAGCAGATTTCTTCTTTACCATTACTGGAGTTTTCAACTGGTACCCATTACTTTCACACCAACCAACTGGAAACAAGTTGTGTGATTCAAAATGTTCAATATGGCTGCTTCCGTACAAAGGGATGCTGTCTAGGTGAATCCACAGTAATGGTTCAAAAACTCTTGATATGGTAGCTACACAGATTTGGTTTGGATTTTCTGGATTAACTGCTTCAAATTTCATTCCAGGTTCAATGTCTTGTTCAAATTTCCTCTGAAATTCATTTGAAAAATAAAATGTATTCTTCTTTCAAAAGACAAGATGGGAATATGGTCAACATCTGGTGTGACTATATCTTAAACTTTAAAAAATTACCAAATTATGAGTATTTTATGAAATATGACATTGTATGAAACTTTCTATTTTGAACTAAAAATCATGATAGTGGTACCCCTTTTTTTCTTTCCAAATCACTGTGTACTGTTTTAACAATGTTATAAATGTATCAAAATTGGAAGAAATAAATTAACAACAGATTTTATTCTGTTCCTTTCTAAGTCCAACAATGCCTTAAAGGATAAGATTGTTCTTTACCTCAGGGAAACATGAATTTGGAGCTGCCTCTGCTTTACAATATTTCAAATAGTCCTCCCATGATAGGGTTGATTTTGGCCAACCTACAAACAGGTCAATTACAATATTAATGAAATTGTAAACACAAAACTTAATTGAATTTCTTCTTTTTCCTTAAAAATGTACACGTTATACTGTAAGAAGAAATTTTCAATGTCTCTGTTTAGACAAAATTATAGTAGTCAAGCTTTGGTCTTTCTTCTTCCCTCTTAATATTTGATGGGTTTTAAGGGTATTCTTGCAATAAATTCCTTTTAATAGTAGGTTTTCATGATTTTGCACACCATGTAGAAATAAATTTAAGATTTTTTACTTTAGGTTGTTATATGGTATTTCATATTTATACTTGCATTATACTTGAAATGGAATTACTGTCCCAAATATATTTACCCCCATATTCTTTTATTTTGTATAAATCAGTCTATTCAACTTCAAGTCAACAATGCACTTCACATAAGTTAATGATAAATTTGTCATCTTGTAGACAATGTATAATTTAATGTGAAATATTCAAAGTATATAGATCTAAATAAATCTTACCATTAGGGGGAGTAACATTTATGCCTTTTGACCGACACCACTTTGTAGGAAATATACATTTTGATCCAGAATAACATGAGAATCTTATCCTACACATTTCTTCTTTATTTTCCAAGTCGTCAATTTCAACAACAAAATAACGTGAATTCAAAACATATAAGACAGTTGCAGGACATATCTGTGTTTTATTTATAGGATTGAGAGCTTCAAGCTTCCAACCTTTCTCAAACCTATGCTCATTCACTTCCTCTTGGTCCTACAATGATATTTATATAAATATTATAAAAGACGGTTTTGTATGCATGTTCAATTTCTTTTTTTGGTATACTGTTGATATATATTTGAAATACTTCCTCTGCAAGAGGAGCACGTGTAAATATGAATCGAAAGAAAAGTACATTACGAAATAAAATGATTTATTGATGTGTTAATGTAACACAATAAAGCAATTGACATTTATAGGTCAACATACTGTCTGCATAAAAAAGTATACCACAAAAATACCGAACTCCAAGGCAAATTCAAAAAGGGGACAGTTCATAAGAACTGACAAAATCTAACTTTATTAATCAATGGAACAAGTGAAAAACAACTGTCATATTCCTCACTTGGTACAGACATTTTCAGAAGAAAATGGTGGGTTAAACCTGGTTAAACCTAAATAAAGAGCTTTTTATTCAATATGTCAAGCCATAAATCTCTCATATTCTAGAAAAGAAGTTAACAAATTTAACAGAGACTACATGTATCATAGATTTGGAAATTCCAAAAACAAAATTCCCCCAAAAAAAACAACAGCACAATATACATCCATGCATTTGAATATAATATTCTATCAAGTTAGATTTATTTAAATGTGATAAGTAATTTTTCATGAACCTTTAAGAAAAAATGACAATTTCAAAAGCAAATATAAAAATGTTTCTTATTTGTTTCTTTTTCTCAGATGAACAAGTTTTAATGAAATATATTCACATTCATTACCTTAAATATTTTCAATTTTCATAACACTTTTAATAAGTACAACTTGAGAATTTCTTTCAGAAAATTCTGGACCTTTGTAAACACCCTTCTACTGAAAATTCTAGTTTCACATTCCCATGGTGCAAGACCCTCATGGGTAGTCAAGATCATTAAACACCCATATAGTAGAAGTTTTACTTCACATTTCATAAATGAGCAAGTCAATATAATTCACCTTAAAAATGGCAAGTGGTAAAACAAATTTCTCAGCCTCTTTCAAAGCCGTCTTCGATACTTCTGACCAATCTGTCTCACAATCTTCACTTATCAACTCTAAAAGTAGAATGAAACATTGCCAACATTATTCATGTTATGAGGTCAAATTTAAAACAAAATATTAATTCAGTATTCACCAAAAGTTGTTGGCTTACTGGAGGAAAAATCTGTTTTGTTCATAAAATTGCTTTTGTCATGAATACTGATTAAACCATAAAATGATAAATTCATCTGAACATTTTAAGCAAGTTTATTTTTAATACTACATGGTCTTTGACTTGAATACATTGCAAAAAGAATTACACATCTAAAAAAAATTAAAAAAAGACAAAGATGATCCATCCTCCACACACTTGACTATAGTTCAGCAAATAGTAGATTAGGTCAACCATGATTTGAAATAAAAACTTAAAATTACAGGAAAATTGGTTCTTCTGAAGCTAAAGTAATTTCACACTTTCAAACCTTTTGGGGGTTGATATTTGAATCCATGCATTTTAGCCCATCCAATGGGATGCAGTCTATGGTTGAGGTAGAATAGCCAGAAATCGTGGGTTGCAGTTTCTACACCTTCAAATCTCAGATACAGACGACCACCAACATTCTCAAGTATCTTGACTAACCAAACTTCTAATGGATAGACTGGATGCTGAAGTTCTAATCTCATGCCTTGTTTAAGCTGATCGATTGGAGTGATTCCTGTACTCTGTAATATATATTTACATAAATTCATAAAGTGTTGCTGTGAATTGTGGATGTTCAGTTAAAAAGGGTCAGAAGTGACATACATAACTTTTTTTTTGCATTTTTCACAGATGTTAGAAATATAATTTAATATTTTTCTCATAGATAAGGTGGACATGCACAAGGTTCCCTCATTATACCTTCTCTTACATTTTCCCTTCCATGATCTATCAATATATCTTCATAAATTCTATAACGCATAACTAAATGAGGTACTTCTAATTACATTTAAGTTTAAATTTTTAAATTTAAATCATACAAATCATATAAAATTTGAAATAAACATACCAAAAAAAATGTAATGAGCTGGTCTATAATTTTACAAAGGATGTTGGAGCTATCAAATCAAGTTGTGACAGTGAAACCTTTTAAATTGAACTTTTGAATAAAGACATACATAAACTTATGACACAGGTACAAAGACACCAGTAAATCTGGATATTTTGGTGTGGGGATAAATATTGTGGTTTTTACCAAAAAGCAGTGGTTACATTTTACTAGGTTAAATGTTGCCTCCTTTTGTTAATAATGATTTTTCCAAATAAAATTCATTGTACAATTAGTTCTGTTGGTGACTAGTTTATATGTAAAAAAAATTGTTTAACAGCTGTACTTTAAGAAAGTACAAAACATCAAGACACAATTAGGATAATAAATAGATAGATTTAATATAAAAAGTCATATATTATATTAATTGCAATAACTGGATAATAGAGGTGAGGGAAGATCAACTGAAGTTTAAATTTTATTAATTTGTGTTTTGTTACTATTAATGATCTCATATCCAGAACGGATCTTTAAATTTAATATCATATGATGTAAATGTAACATACCCTACTAGTTATATCATTAGTGTTATTCCTTTTCACCATTAAAAATTATTATAAATGTGCAGAGTTAATTGTTTAAACATAATCATTTCTCATAATGTTTTTTTATGTAAAATCTGGCATTTATATTATTTATGTTTTATTTTGGTGTATTCAAATTTGGCACTTTCATCTTTCTAAAAATCACCAAATTAAACACAATATGACTTCAACCAAAATATCCGAAATATCCAAATATTTACAGTATTCTATGGAATCAAACTTAATGCATTAAGGAAACCTTGCTGTCAATTTGAAATTGATTTTAGTTTAACAGGACTTTGGTAAAGTCTAGATTTCACTGAAATTGTTGCATCAATGTGTCTTAAATATAAGTTATTTTTGATGATAATATTAAATAAATTAGATTTGAAAAGCAAACCATTTCTGAAAGTTTACAGATTATTTTAAGTGTAATAGCGTTACAATTCAAGGCAGATTTTTTTTTCTTGGTAACTATGAATGGAGTGTCTGACTGTTCCACAATTTATTTCTTACCTTGTCCAAAAGATAAGAAGGGGCTGTACGAGCACCAGTTAATGATCGCACAAGGAAGTCTCTCCAATCATCAAACTTGTCCTTGATTGCTGAAAGACAGATGTTATGCCTGAATTATTCATAATTTCCTACAAATCATTAGGCAAATAAAATAATTTCTCTAATTCTTCGTCAATTTATCCCTTTCTGCACCTATTGTATAAAAAAAATTTAATCAACGTGTGGTTCGTTTGATCTCAGTTCTCCATTGGTTAAAATCCGATTATGACGTCGAATTTTCTTGTTTTCTTCTGAATTTCCTATTGTGACGGCATGAAAAAAGGCAACCATGCCTGATGACGTCACATAGAAAGAACACAACTTTTTGCAGATCACTTAAAAAGAAGGAATAAGTTTGCCTGCATATTGTTTGAAAATCATTAGAGAAACAGATTCCACCACCAAATCTCGTGTAATACGATATTTATCCACTCGACAGTTAAATTTTAAATATTTAAAACGCTCGGCAAGCCTCGCCTTTTAAATTTGAAAATTTAACTGTCTCGAGTAGATAAATATAGTATTACACTCGCTGCAGTGGTAGAATCTATATATCTCCACCTTACAGTTATTTTACCAACATTTACAGAATCATATAAGGTTTTTAAAAAGTTCTGCAAATATATATATAGACGTTTTCAATGGAACAAATGTAAATGGACAGATACCATACATTTTATTTTTCTCCCTATAATAATTGTGATTTGTGATCATTTGATCTAGAAAACAAGTAAAATATGAAGGCTGCTTCAGATTCTTCATTGACACATGTCATTAGTGAGAAAGGGGCATTTTACAATGCTCTTGAATGCTTCCAGTCTTGTGAATGAATTTAACAGAAAGATGACAACTGAACAACTTACTGTACCAAATTCCTCACATGAGGTATCAATAAATAACAACATTCTGATTTTTACTTTACCTTCTGGTGGTTGTAAAATTTGATTATTCTGAGCACACCATCCTATTGGATGAATTTCTGAGGTCATAAGGTCACACCAAAAATCAGAAGAGTTGTCATCTTCATAACCATCAAATCGTAATCGTAACAATGGTCCACAGGTCATAAGTACTGAGGCAACCCAGTATGTATCTGTATTACATTTGTTAGGCACTTCTAATTTCATTCCTTTAACAAATCCACTCTCTAAGCTGTACTCAACCTAAAATCAAGCAAAGAAAATGAAAGATATAGTTTTTAACATATATAGATAATTATGAATACTGTGGATACATTTATTTTCGTGGGTACCAATTTTCAAGAATTAAGGAATTGGTACAAACAAGTCTGATGAGAGATCCTTACTAAATGATGAATTGAGCAAGGCTTAAAGAAATAAAAATCCTTCAGGAAAACAACTTTTTCTAAAGTCTAGTGGTCAGTATAACAAGTTGAATTTGGCTGATTTATGAAGAAATTTCTGCACACAGATCTCTAACATGGTGACAAAAGGGAAGTAACTCTTGCTCAAATTGTGTCAATGGAAACCTATCAATTGTTTGGTGAAGAAAATTAAAAAATTTAGATCGCATGTAAAAAGAAAAAACTTTTTTTTCATTTATGGAACTATTTTTGCCATTACTGTCCCATTACTTTGTTTCAAGACAGCCATTTATTCTTACATGTTTAAATGCTGTTGGAGGAACAGAAACTGAACCTGTCTCCTCTAAATGTTTTTCCCATATAAATTCTGCTTCTTCGTTATCAACAGTATCTGCACCTGCAAATGAGAAGAAATTTTGCCAGCTTTTCATAACAAACAAAACAAAAATTTGTATGCAACAAAAAGATAACATTCCATTTTCAAGTTGCAGTATTGATAAGAAATTAATCCCTCTCAATTTAAAATGAGGTTTTTCCTGTTTAATATCTGCATCAGAATCATACGACACATTACTGAAACAATACTTATATAAGTGACAAATATCAATTTCTGTGAATAATTATGAAAATTACCTAAACAATATTTATAAAAGTGACAAATTTTTACTCTTGTCAATATTAAATTTGTTATAAACCAATTACATAAATTGCAAATTGCTTTAAAAAAAAATATTTAAGCTACTGCCTTGAAAGATATGTGTTTTATGTATTTCTATTGTATAACTGTAATTTGTGCACTTTTGAAAAATAAAATATTGTTTTAACTAAGGTAGCAATACACAGTTAGTTTGTTTCGCATTTTGGCCATGGTGAATTTTTTAAATATGAAAGTTTTTGTACAATAAAATTGATTTTTATATAGTTGAAGAATAATATGGCCTTCCAAGTGGGTATATATGAACATCTAGATTGTTTTTAGCATGTTTTATAGGCCATTTTTCTGTTTGACAGTCCGTATTTTCACATCCGTACTGCCCATAGGTCCAGAAATTATTGTAGTGTTTTTCAACAAAGATTTGACCCTTGATCTTTTCAATTCAATTTTATGGAAAAATGAGCAGAAATGCATATTGATTTTTTTTGGACCTCTTGATAGACAAATGTCTATGGTTTCATGAAAGGTATCACTCTAATGGATTGAAATTCTCCTTTGGACCAAATTTTGGAGACTTTTGTGACATTTTCACCCCCCTTTTTGCAATATTTTTTATCAAATAAATGCAGATTGTTGCCATGGTTACACCAAAAAGAGATTATATTTCACCATTATAACTATTGGAAATCAAATCTATGGAAGATGCTCTTTCCATAAGTATATACATGCATAACACAAATAGTAAGCCTTTTTTGTTAGAAAGGAAGGGAAAGAGGGTGGTTAAAAATTATGAGTGTCAATTTTAAGTATTTTTCCTAACTGTGTATTGCTACCTAAAGATATGTGTATTTATGTTTATGCATGATTAAATTCTAAAGACTTCTAGCATTTCATGTGGTAAAAGCAGAAAGTGGCTTTTGCACATTTAGATACATGTATTCATTAATCTACAAGTCACAATAAATATCATTAATTTTAGATGTAATTTAGAGAAAAGGAGAATAAATGTACAGTATACCGTACAGTTAAAACTTTCAGCAATATTTGATGATAGATGCATATACCATACATGCAATTGGATAAAGAAATTTTGTACAGATTTAAAGAGGCAATCCTGACATATGCACCCTCCTCCCTCCTAAAAATCTCAACCTCTTTTGGTTAAAATGTTCCATTGAGCACATACCTTTATTTATCTTTTCATCACTTTTTACAACATCCTTTGTCTCAACTAAAGAATCTCTGCTACTTTCTTCCTCTTCGTTTGTTTCTTTCAATTCACATGTTGTAAGAAACTGACTTTGTTTTACTTTATCAATACATACAGAATCTGTATCATCATTTATGGCTTGTTCTTCATTTTCATTTTCTTTTGTACTCTTCAGTTCCATTTTATTCTCTACTTGTGTGTCACCTAGTTTTTTAATATCTTTTGGAGTTGATACAGCTGAAAGTTTTTCATTTAGGACACTGAAACCGATTTTTTCAATGATATCAGGATTATTCTGATTTTGTGTTGAACTATCTGTACATTCATTATCAATGTTATCAGAACCTATAGTTTCTGTATCATCAGTATTTATTGTATCAACAGGCACATGGTTTTTGACATTTTGTGCATTTTCAATATCTCCATCAATATGTGAAACACTTTCAGATCGCAGTGATTCAATATTTGCAGAGTCTTGATCCATGGCAGTATGACCTACATTTTCAGTGAGATCAAAACTCTGCTCTTTGGAGCTATTGAGGAAATATTGAGATGTAAGGTAAGTATCAGAAGATGCTGATGCCACAGATGTTAATGGCTGACCCATCATTCCAACTGGCATGCAGTTTACTATACTTGGCATACCTGTTGAAATTGCTGACAAAATTGGCACCAATGGTAATTTTTCTACTAGTTCAGGCTGCTGATCTTGTAAAAGCATAGTACCTGGTGTCAAAGTGCTTGGTGCTAATTGCAGGATTTGTGGATCAATAGGAAGTCCAATAGTTGTTATGGCAACTGGCAACAAATGAGGAGGTTGAATTTCAAGTTGTGGTAAACTGATGTTACAAGTAACACTATTCACATTTTGTAAGGCAGTGGCAGTAATATCTGTGAAGGCAGGTAAATGGCTTGGTAATGCAGCATTTTCAAAAGGAATCTGCTCAAATGTTTGAGGAATACTTGAGATATTCACAGCTTCAGTTTGATTTACAGAGTTGTCTCCACTTGAGCTGACTGTAAGTGGTGATTCTGTAGATTCAATTCCACCATAATCCTCCATTTTGACTTTTTAATTTATTTACTGAAAAATATGCAATACATCATCTGTCTTTTAAACTGAATATTTTAATCCAACGAAGGACTGTGACTGTTTGTTTTTATTTTTATCTTCAAGACAAAGTATTATGGTATATATTAAGGTCCTGATGAACACAACCATGTAACAAGAATTTTTTCGTTAAGGCCAATTAACTGTAGAAACACAGCATTTTTAGAGAGATCAATTGCCCACATTGTACAGAGGTCTGAAACTTCTGAAAAAGACGTAAACTCATGGGAATATAACTGTTAAATGTGTTAATAATTGGAATACATTTCAGGAAAAACAGTTTCAAGTACAGCCAAAAATCTGTAATAACCCAAAAAGTCTAGATTTTTTATCAAAATTGGTCATTGTTGACTACCATAACCCAAACTGTTTACCTTGAAGCACATTTGTACTCCCGGTGTACAGGGAGACCCATAGTCTATGCAGACTACAGCAATTTACATCTATCAGCATCCCCTGGTCTTGCAGGTAACAAAATACGACAAATCTCATAAAATTAATGTTTTTTCACCAAATGGCCTATTCTACATTTTGTAATTTCTTTGCTCATGTGTTGATGTAAGTGAAATTATTACAACATTTTTATCAATAGATTCATAGTTTAAAACACATTCAAAAGGATATAATATAAGAGGGTCTTTTCGAAAACCAGAAACATTACATTTATTTCTATTGGTTGTATTGGGTTCTGTCACCTGTAAGCTCAACCTAGACAGGGGAGAAAATTCAATACATGCCATTTTTACAGTAATTGTTTTGTATTTTATCTTAAAAATATTTATCTGACATACTTTTTTAAAGGTAAAATAGCAAAATATAACTGTAAAAAATGCTATTAAAATAATGACCTTTTAATATCTTCTCCTTTATTATATTTATCAGTCTGTAAGGTAAAAAAAAATAACACCTTTGTGTGTCTGTTAACATGCTGAGAAAAATAAGCGTTGATAGGAAAGCAAATAACTTTATTTTCCTCAATGTTTTTTACTGGTTTAATGATGGCATACAGTAAAGCTATAATAATGCTTGTTAAAAGATTACTAAAAATTCTTTTAGGTAGGCAATAAAAATTAGGGTTAGTTAGCGGAAACACATCTTTTATTTAGGCCAAACACGGAGAACAAATTTTTTAATAAATTTTAAAAACAAATTAATATAATAAAAAAAAGTTGTTTGAATGGAAATATGACCTTCGGTAGGAATGGTTTCTGTTCACTTTCAATTGGAAATATGAAGAACTAATCCAAACCTTTTTTTTTTTTTTTTTTTTTTTTTCATAACCTTTTTCTAAAAAAATACATAATTGGGTGATTTTTTTTTTTCTTTTATCTTTTAACTATACAAAAATATTAGGGGTCACTGGATTAATATTTGTTACCTAAATCAATTTAGTTTAAGGAATGCATGATAAAAAATATCTTTAACTATAATTTTGCAGTTTGGTGCCATCTGGATGTTATGTTTTATTTTCACTCAACATACATGATATATCTAGACTAATTGATTTCTTCTGAAAAATGAATCTATAGACAACATATAAACTTTATATTATTAATTATGTAATGTTCAGAGCAATAACATATTATATATAAATAAAATTATGTGTACATTTTTCCATATGTATATAATATGGCAATTTAAAGACAAACAAATTTTGATTTTTTTTCTTTTTATATTCCTTACAAAGCAGTATGGCCAGTAAGGCCTTAAATTGGCCCTATAAATCAAACTTTGTTATACCATATATGTAAAACCCTATATTTACGATCTAAAATATGCAAATTTAGATAAATTAAACACTTTTGTTGTCTGCTGTTAGTTTTAATAAATGTTGACAGCTACAAAAGAATGATATTTTACAGGTTTTTAGCCAAATTGCCTGTTTTTATGCATTTGTAAGGTCTATTTTCTTCAGAAAAACATTGGCCACATCTTTCGCCCAAAATAAAATTGTTATAAAAATATGTATATGGGTCAGATACACATCTTAGCAAAAAAATTATGGTTGTTCTTGCATGTGGCTAATTCCGTTAGAAGCAAAAAATTTATCAAAAATTAGTCAAAATTATCATTTTTTTTTCATTTAAGTACACTTTTATGATGTCATAATGACATCACAATAGTTCTAATGTGTCAAGAGTTTGGTGAATTTGTTTTTATTGTCATCCATTTTTACATATTTTGTCATCAAATATCTATTCATATTATCGAAGTTAAATTTCACTGATTTTTAGGGCCAATATAGAACCTCCTTGAACCTGCTCCTTTATTTATATATGTAGATTTAGTTTACACATTATCAAATAATTGGACCTCTAAAAGAAAAAATGTTAGACATATAATTTTTTTTTATATTTTAGTGCGATGAAGTTCTAAATACATAAAATAAAATCTGTAACAATCTCAAATACCACCAAATTAGGTATACTTTGCACATACATGTGATGGACTGTGAAACTCAGATCAGGAGATTGGGAAATTTTGGTCAGGAGATTAGGACTCAGATCAGGAGGTTTTTAATCGACATAAATTTTGTCGTAAATGTAACCGTGTGCTGTAGAAATTGTCTTTTAAAGTGTGTTTTCTTCAACTTTCCATCCGAATGTATTATGTTTATAGTACCCTTGTACTTATAAATTTTCTCTATCTTTATTCAACATGTTCAATCTAACATTCTTTTTTTTTAGAGTTTGTTCTTTAAATTTTTTATTTCTTATCTTCTTTCTCATTATTCTTTAGAACAATCATTGCAATAAGAACATTTGTTAATCTATCTGCAAGTAGATTTTTTTTGCGTGTTAAGACACACATTGAAACCAGATAGGGTCATAGTTAATATATAAATTTCAATTTAAGCCTTGAAAGGAAGTATAGTACCCTAAAATAATTTTCAAATTATTATTTTTTCATTTGTCTTAAGACATTTAAAATCATTTTATTACCATCGTTTTATGATTATTTGTTCAATTTATATTTTATTTATATTCTTTTAAAAATTTACATTATTTAAAGGAAAGTAACTTAAAACAGGATAAATCAAGGGAAGTAACCCAAAATTCATTTCAATTATTTTTAAATACACACAGTTTTTATTACACAACGGCAGTTAGCCTGAGGTAAAAATTGTTGATTACCAGTATGTTTGACACCCAAGCTGACAAGTGAAGCCATATAACTATGCATGTTAATTGATTTACAGGTAAAATATAACTTCAGGTAATGTCTGTTACACCAGATATGTTGGGCTGAAATTTTTCATTCATGAAATATTTCATACACAGGATTTTTTTCTCTTCAACGGGAGGTTGGGAGGAGACCCCTGAAAACGGGATTATTGTACTCCCGTCGGGAGGTTCACATGTATGTTTGCAGCAATTTCTCTTTTTTATTTATTCTATTTTCTTTTTCATTTCTTTTTTTTTTTTTTTGGGAGGGGGGTAGTTGGTTGGTACAACTTATTTAACTGGACAGTCATTTACAGACAGTAATCATTGTTGGGATTTTGCCCTGATGGGTTGTGTCTGTTCACCGTGTTAAATTTTTGGATGAAAGATTAATTGTCACTTTTGAGTTTACATACATAAATATTCAAGTAATCCCCCTTTTTGAATGAGTTCAAAAACATAATTTCATCTTCAATTCCATATACCAAAAAATTACACCTTGGTTTTCACTAGGTAACATGGTCCATAAAATGTTGTTAAAACGGAGGAAAAATATATAAATAGAGAATGTGTGTTGAAACACTGTGTAATTACGATCCTTTTTAGGAATAATAATAAAGGTAGGTAGAATTCATTTTTTCCCTCAATTTCTTTTACCATGTGTATACTGGAACACCTGTAATTTTGTCTAGACTTCATTCGTGCCAATAAACACATAGGGCTAGACAAATTCTAAGCAGAAAAAAGGATTGGACAAGTATATACACATGCAAACACAATATTCTCTTATTCTGGCCTAAGTAGTCAAAATACATATTTAAATGTTATTTTAATGTATGCGCATGTTTAGTTTCAATATGAGTTCTTTACATTTCTATAATATATGTTTGGTCTTTTTTGTATAACTTAGTCCATTCTCTTACTCATATTTACCCTCCCCCTTTTTGGTTCAGTATATTTCAGTAATTTTTTAAAGTTTTCTTTTAATATGTATATATTGGAAGACCTGTAATTTTGTCTACATTTCACAAGTGCCAATAAACACATAGGGCTAGGCATTTTTAAGCATAAAAAAGGATTGGACAAATATATACACATGTATGATGTAAACACAATACTTTTTAATTCTGACCCAAGAAGTCAAAATATATTCAAACCATATATTTATTTTAATGTATGTGTAAGTTAAGTTTTCATAGAAATTCTTAGTATTTCTGAATATCAGTTTGGTCTTTTTTTTTATAACTTAAAGCCCATTTTCCTACTCATATTTACCTACCCCCTTTTTTTGGTGTGTATATTTTAGTGATTGTTGAAAGTTTTGTATGTGTAAAAAAAATAAACCATAAAGTTACAGAACTTACTAACAAATATTTTCTGCACCTTTAAGTATTAGACTATGTGCCATATTAGGTCTATAGATAAACGTATGAAATAATACTTTCGAGGTTCTATTTTTAGACTAGAGTATAAATGAATGATAAATTTTCCGCGTATTATAACCGAATAGAAAAGTATTTGCATTAATGATATTATATCTATAAATAAATATTTCCTCACTTGCATTGGGCAATATTTTCCATTTTGCTGTAATCAATAACACCAACTGTTTTAAATGTGGAACTAATGAAATATATTGATATTCTTCCAAATTATTCTTGCTGAAATAAACAAGTCATGAATATGCATATTATATTTGATCAAACGACCGACCAAAACAATCGGTTAGTTTTCCTATAAATAATGAAAAATATTCGGGAAAAAGATATATGCAATTACCTTATATATTAATCGATATGCCAATTAAAAGAAAAATGCAGTATCGAAGCTTCAACACAACAAATTTACAATTTTCCGTCCTTCTGTTTGTACTCATACTTCCACGTTCAAGATGGCAACTAATCGGCAAAAGTACATTGTGCGCATGTCCCTGTTACAAGATGCCGCTAACATGCCCCAATATTTTATGTTTTTAAATTTAAATATTTACGTGGCGGAACTTGGTCGATAAACACGTGTAAATGTTAAATACACAACTTTATGTATGAAATAGTAGATAATCAATACTTAACAAATATGATTAATTCATTAACAAAATACAGAGTTTATACTTCCCCTTCCCTTGTGCAATAAAGACTGTATGCAAATAACGTTTTAAAATTGGTCTCGACTGATTTGTTTGGAGAAAATATTCAATTTACCCTGCAAATAGTAAACTAGCAATTTATTATGTCCCAGATTTACATAACCTCGTAAGACGCTCAACACATGTGAGATGTTAGTACATTTTTACTAGGGAATCGCGGACGTCAGAGAGGGGCATATCTCGAGGGGCACTGTTGTTTATCACAAAGTGCATGATAGTATTGTATGGTACGTAACATGTATCTATACCCGGCCTAGATTGTACATGAATGATCACAAATTGTTGGACTAGATGCATTTTATTATGATGTATATACAACAAACCCGGGATATTTCGGAGGAAAGATCAGTAAAAAACATGAAAAGTGCTCAAGGGCAATTTAATAACACGAAAGTCCATATTAGCATGTGCTCGGGGAAAGTTAAGTTGAAGGACTATTTTAGCATATTTTATCAATGATTTCATGAAATTGCAGTGGCAGTGTTATTGAACTTTATGATAAATTTCCTCGTCCTGAACATGCATGAAATATTTTCCACTGGACGTTAAGCAACCACCAATCAATCAATTTAATAAATTTCATGCAGTTTATTGCGTATAATCAAAGGGTATGATTTGTTGTAGCATTATGTCGTTTAAAATATTTAAGACGGTATGTTTCTCTGCAGTTGTGAACTGAGTCACAAATAAGTTACAATTTAAAATATTTGATACATCAGCTGATCAAATGTATCATGGCATAAAACGGTTACTGGGTGCAATATTGAAGTTTCTCAGATCTGATTGTGCAAATGCTTGTTGTAGTCGTTTTATTTATTCAAATTAAGAGGTATCCATGTTACAGTATAGATTGGAATTCAGTAGGATCCAGAATCCTCCAGGTACAATTTGGAATTCTAATTTTTACTAAATCCGATTTACAATATCTACTAGTAGAAATTTCGATATCCAGATTTATACTAGGAGGATTTTGGATTATGATAAATTATTAGTAGGATCCGCAGGGACTCGGTTAGCGGATATACATTTTTACAATCATTGTAATTTTAATTGTGTGTTGTATTTCCTATCTATTTATATTAAATTATCAGAGTTTACGTCATGATTTGTATGTTTACCAGCAATGTGCAGTGTACTATCCATGTATTATATACTGAAAAAAAAATATTAAAATTACAATGATAACAAAAATATATCCGCTAGTAGGATCGAGGATATTACTTAAAACTATATAGTTACATTGCAGTATAGTTCTGGATAAAACTGGATCTATATTATAATCTATTGTTTTTACTGTATGATGTACTTTATGAGTATAAAAACAAATAAATGATAATATAATGCCACTTTCAATACTTTATCACAAACAAAATATGGTAAAATACAGACTCTGGTGAAATTCTTTTGGCATAGTAACATTTGCTAATATTTTGTTTGTGGTATTTCAAGTTGATAAGAAACACATTTTGACTTAAGCACATAAATCCAGGGAAACAAATTTTGCGTAGATTAACAAGATTATCTTCTGAATGAGTCATCATTAAAAAATTAACATATCTTTGTTAAAAGAGAGGCGAACCTTATCAAAGGGACAATTTAAAAAAAGTCGAAAATAAAACTGACAACGCCATGGCATAAAAAGAAACAGACAAACAGTACACAAAACACAACATAGAAAACAAAAGACTGAGCAACACGAACCCCACCAAAAACTGGGGGTGATCTCAGGTGTATCGGAAGGGTAAGCAGATCATGCTCCACATTTGGCACCCGTCTAGTTGCTCATGTTAGTATAAACCCGGTGATATTTCTAATTCGGTAGGTCACATTCGAGGAAAATGGGACGACATCGTAGTTACGACAATTGGAACATATCCGTCGTCATCTGTGAAACATATATTCCATAATGGTAAACCAACTCGTGATGGCGTCCGTAAAATTTACGAAGGGACGATTTCAACTTCACCACTTGGAACTCTTGGTTTAATAGCTTCCTTGTGAGCAGCAACCTCTATCAAGGAAATCATGATATGAAATACAAGCCCTCGAATATCGTATCAACTGGAGATATATACTCCGTATGCAGGCGCTGCTGAAATGTTGCTACATAGAAATGGAAAGTTCACAATTTGGAAGATGAAATCATCTCTTTTGTCGTAAAGTTTTGTTTTCAACCGATCCTCATTGTTAAATTTAGTATCGAAAGAGGTCATTGATCATCATCAACATAAATGAATCATTTTTTGATAGATAGACAATATTTAAAATATTATCGATAAAATGATGGTTTATTTGGTTGAGAACGTCCTTATAATTACTCAGAATTTGACAAAATTGAAGTGTTTGACCATATTTATATATAGGTATCTATAAGTTGATCAAATGTTCTGAAACACATGTACCGAAAGTGTTGTTTAAAGCTTAAAGTACCTCAAATGAACTTATGGTACTGTAGTAAAGATTGAAAGACTTTTGGTGAAAACAATTCATAGGAAATTAGTCCTACCTACTTTCTGTTTGATTTAGACAAATTTGATTATAAGTTTATTTCATTGTAAAGAAAAAACTGACATATTGTATATATTAAAAAGGAAGACGTGGTATGATTGCCAATGAGACAACTCTCCACCAGAGATAACAACTATAGGTTACCGTATGGCCTTCAACAATGAGCAAAACCAATACTGCATAGTAAACTATAAAAGACCCCAAAATGACTAATGTAAAACAATTCAAACGAGAAAACTAACGGCCTGATTTATGTTCAAAAGAATAAACGATAGCAAATATGATATACAGCAACAAATGAATTACAAGATCCTGGCTTGGGTCAGGCACATACAGAATGTGTCGAGGTTAAACATGTTAGCTGGCGCCGACACCTGGGACAGTGGTGTAACAGTACAACATCAGAACAAACTACACATGTATAAAAATCAGTTGAAAAGGGTTGAACTCATCAGATGGATACAAAACACAAAACACCTTAACAAATACATCAAAAGACACAAAATACAGATCTGAGAGCACTCGCAGTTACTGAAAGCTAGTTCAAAGCCAATAACAACTAATACAAACTCACGCAACTAATACTAAAATATAAATCAGTACACATCAAAAATCCAATAGATTTAGCGTAAAGACGTCATTAACAGTCAGAGAAAAGCAATGCCTTGCGCAATTTGTCCATCTGGATATCCTAATTTGTACCAGTAGATATTGTAGATTATGGAATTCTGATGTGTACTGGATTTTAATTAGCATAAATCAGGCTTCCAATTTCTAGTAGTAGATATGATACCTGTATACATTATACACCTATTGACTGATTATGAGGGTAATAGCAAGTTTGTTGTCCCTGAGATACCAACTATTGCTCGAGGCGAAGCCGAGGCCAATAGTTAGTATCAAAGGGACAACAAACTTGCTATTACCCTCATAACCAGTCATTAAGTGTTTTATTATACCAAACAAAAAAGTAAAATCACAAAAATACTGAACTCCGAGGAAAATTCAATCGGAAAGTCCCTAATCACATGGCAAAATCAAATGACAAAACACATCAAACCGAATGGACAACAACTGTCATATTCCTGACTTGGTACAGGCATTTTCAAATGTAGAAAATGGTGGATTGAACCTGGTTTTATAGCGCTAAACCTCTCACTTGTACGACAGTCTTATCAAATTCCGTTATATTTACAACGATGCGTGAACAAAACAGACATTATAAATAAAATAGTCAAAATATGGGTACAGCAGTCATCACTGTGTTACAATATCAAAACAAACAATTATTTACAAAAAAGAAAAAAATCATCTATCAAATTAAAAACCACATTCATTGCTTCGCGTGTCTTTCTAAAAAGACTACATGGGAAAAAACAAATAGTCACATAAACATGCACAAGATGAACTATCAGGGTTTTTTTTTTTTTTTTTTTTGCCCGTGTGGTATTTGTCAATATCTTATTTACTGTAATCAAGATCAGGAATCCTTGTGTAAAAATTCCCGTGCATATAATAAACGCTAGCTAAAATATACTACCGTACACCAAAGCAATCTCAGATTATGAAGACGACGACAGACCCATACCATACATTTGTTATGTTTTAGTTTTTAAAATATGTCGCGTAGATGTATTCTTTCTTCTTTAATTGCTTCTGGTAAGTAAATATCAATTTGAAATTACGACGACAGACACATACAGATTATGCCGTTTACGATATTTCAGAGTTTAACGTTGCAAAGCAAAATAGTCAATGACGTCATTGTTGTCCAATGAAAAATTAGTTTGAAAAAGTACGGGAAATATGTTTATAAGACTATTGACCGGGGTAATAGTCTTTGAAACTATTGACTGGCAAATAGTGAAATAGCACAAATATTTCATTCTTTTTTATATAGAAAAAACATACTGAGGTATAATAAAAAAAACTATTCTACATTGTCCATTATTTATTGGGGAAACATATTGTTGAACTTAATTAAACATGATATAATTGGTTGTAGAACAGCAATAAAACCAATTAATGTACCACAGCTTAAGGTTTTGTCAAGTGCATGCAGATTTTGAGTTGCCCCCACATGTTTAATTAGGTATTGCTGCAAATACCTTCATC